GGGTGATCCACCACCTGGTCAGGGAGAGGCGCCACCTCCTCCGGGGAATGTCGAAGTACCGCCCGGCGGAAACTGACCGCTCGATGACGGGAGAAGTCTGGGCGCCAGTCCAACCAGGCGCACGCCATCTTCTGGTCAAAGCCTTCCACCACAGAGTGGTTCCCACACAACCCGTCTGGGCGAGAGCGTGAGTTGGGAGACGAGTAGGTCATGTCCAGCTGGTGCAACTCATGCAACCCATACGGGATCTCCAGAAGACGACGCCAACTGGCCTGCTCAGCCACGTCGCGCCCTCCCGTCACGATGGCAGTGGCGCAGCGACGATCTTGGGTCTCTGGGACATAGTTGAAGTCGACGCGAGAGCGTGACTTCAGCGTAAATCCCACCAGCCCTCTGGGCGCAAGTGGTCTAACGAGATTACTATCTTCCCTCTTCCGAAAAAAAAAACTTATTCACCTACGGGGAGGGGTTTATCACTGTTCCCTATGAATATACACCCCCTCCCCCAGGCGTCTGGGACCCACCAGGGTCAATGCGGGCACCCCCCCCATCCCTTGCAAAAAACAATACAAAACACACTCTGCCTCCAAATTCGGAGCATGCGCAGCGATCCCGATGTCCCTGTCAAAAAAACAATACAGAGTACACTTGGCGGCGGCGGCGGCTGCGGCGGCTGCGGCGGGGGCAGCGGCTGCGGCGTCTGCGGCGGTGGCGGCGGCGGTGGCGGCGGCGGCGGCGGGGGCGGCGGCGGCGGCGGCGGCGGTGGCGGCGGCGGCGGCGACGGCGGTAGCGGTGGCGGCAGCGGCTGCGGCGGCAGCGGCTGCGGCGGCGGCGATTCGGCAGCGGGGGCGACGGCGGCGGCGGCGGCAGCGGCGGCGGTGGCGGGCGCGGCGGCGGCGGTTGCGGACGGCGGCGGCGGGCGGCGCGGCGGCGGCGGCGACGGACAGCGGCGTCGGCGCGGCGGCGGCGGCGGCGGGCGGCGCGGCGGCGGGCGGCGGCGGCGGCGGCGGCGGAGGCGGCGGCGGCGGCGGCGGCGACGGATTCGCCCCCAGTAGCTGCCCATCCAAAGACGACTGCTGCATATGCTGCGGCTCGGGCCAGGCTCGGGTGCTACGTATGTGTTGGGAGGGCGGGTGGGAGTGAGCGAGACGGCTTGCAGGCGGGGAGGGGGTCTTGACCCCTCCCCCTACCCCCTCCTCTTGACTTTTTTTGGGGGGTCGCGACGTATCCCGCCCACCTCACCCGCCCTGCCCTCGTGCCCTGCTTCACCAGGCCCAATGGATGCCTACAATGTATTGTCCCGTCCGCCCGACCCGTCCGGCCCGTTGGCCCGCTTCGCCCGATCAGGCTCGATAGAGATCCATCCCTTATTGTCCCGCCCGCCCGACCCGCCCCGCCCGTTGACTCCGCTCCGCCGACCATACTCGATCGAGATCCAAACTTAAATGTCCCGTCAGCCCGACCCGCCCCTGCCTTCGCCCTGCCCCGCCCGACCAAACTCGGTAGTGCCCTACACTTCCACGTTCCGCTCGCCCGATCCGTCCGCCTCCTGCCCGACCCGCCCCATTTGGTAGGCCTCACATGCCTGACTCGGCCGCCAGGGTCGCGGAAGACGAGAAAACAAGTACGGGAAGACAAAGGGAGAAAACAAGGAGGGAATGAGACATGGAGTACAAATGCGCGGGGCCTGAGAAACTGGAACTTGTAATTGTCAATTCGGACCTCTCCCGAATGGAAAATTGAATAATTGAATAATAACACCTACCCTTTTCAATATTTCAATCCGTGAAAAAAAAAACACCAACACTCTGGGCGATAGTGGTTGAGAGCGGTTCCTCTTCCAGCCTCACTTCTTTCCCTTCGGGAAGGATTTACCCCCTCCCCCCTACCCCCTACCACTGGACCTGGACGGGGGCTTGCGTGTTGGACACAGTTTGGTCTCTTGGGGGGGGATGGGATATGGTACCACCCCTTCTGTGATCGATCTCCTGCAAGATGATGGCCCGAAGATGGCCGCGAGGCTCCCAAGGGTGCCCCAAGACCGCCTCAAGAGGGCACCAAGAGGCGCCCAAGAGGCTCCACGAGGTCCCCAGGAAGCCCGAAGGTATTCCCAAGAGGCTGCCAAGAGAGCCCCAAGAGGCCCCAAGAGGCTCCCCCGAGGCACCCAAGACGCATGAGGCCTCTGACGCCGCCAAGAGGTCCCCAATACGCACCAATAGGACCCCGAGAAACTCTCAAGGGACATCCGAATAGACTCCGAGAGACATCCAAGAAGCCTCTGGTCTTTCTGCTCGCCCTCCTCCTCCTCCTCGTCCGCCTCCTTCTCCTCGTCCTCATCCGACTGTTCCTCCTCCTCCCTCGTTCCCCCTCCCCCTCCCCCTCCCCTTCCTCCTGCTCCTCCTGCGATTCGTTCTCTATCCTCCCCCCCTTAGGGTGAGGCGGCTTCCCCAGCCCTTGATTCCAGCGTGCTCCTCCGCATCGCTGGTCAAGGCAACTCTTCTGGGCATCGTCTCTGGATGAACTGGTGGGGTTACGCGAAGCGTCTAGAAGTCTTAGTTGCCTCAACGTTGAATCGGCACCTGTGGAATTGAAAATGACAATGTCCTATGTGTTAATTTGGAGCGTGTAAATCTGAAGGCGGATGCTCAATCCCGCGCCGAAGACCCAACTCGATTCACTAAGGAGCACCGCGCGGAAAACTCGCGCACCAAGACCGTCAATACGAGACAGAAAAGCATGACACCCACAACACGTAGCTCTCACGAGTCCACCCTCAAGAAACTATGTAAGTAAGCCAGCGTGGGCTCCAAACAGTGAGTTCTTGCACGATGGAGGTGGAGTATATACGGCGTGCACTGCATGGTGAAAGCTATCTCGTGTAAGCTGTGGGATGTGAGCTATGGAGGTGAAAACTATGCAGCGGATGCGTCGTGGTGCAAGCTGTGCCGTGCAAGGTAAATATGCGGCATGAACTGAAGGTGAAAGCTGTGGGGTGTAAGCTCAGAGCACAGAGCGCCCACGAGGCGCCCACGAGGCGGCACGGACGGCAACGTGGCGCAACCTCGGGGAACCCACCAGGCGCACAGGGCGCCCGCGAGGCGCCCACGAGACGACACGGACGGCAACGTGGCGCAACCTCGGGGAACCCACCCAGCACTCAAGCCCGCTGACGAGGCGCCCACGAGGCGGCACGGGAGGACACGTGGCGCACCCTCGGGGAACACACCCCGCGCACGGGCCGCCCGCGAGGCGGCACGGGCAGCGGCGTGGCGCAACCTCGGGGAACCCACCCAGCAAGGGCGCCCACGAAGCGCCCACGAGGCGTCGCGGGCGGAGACGTGGCAAAAACAAGCGCACCCATCCAATTACTCAGAAAACATCCGCAAGAACCCGTCAGTACTAGCACTGTTTCGGGGGAATAAACCAAATTGCGGTGTAGGCTATGCAGTGAATGTAGTAAAAGCTATCCGGAATAAGCTATGTGGCGTGAACTATGCGATGTAAGCTATGCAATGTAAGCTAACTATGTGGTGCAAGCTATGTCGCGTAAGCTATGCGGTGTAAGCTATGTTGTGTTAGCCCTGAGGCGGCGGCCACGAGGCGGCCACGGGCGGCGACACGGCGAAACCTCGATATGGATATGTGGTGCAGTATGCGTGGCGCAAGGAAGAGGAGGAGACGGGCGGCAACGTGGCGAAACCTCGCCGGACCCACCCAACGCACGAGGCGGCCACGAAATGGCCGCGGGCGGACGAGGCGGCCATGACGCGGCCACGGGCGGCATCAGGGCGAACCCTCGCCGCACACACCCAGCGCACGAGGCGGCCACCGGGCGGCCAAGGGCGGCACCGTGGAAATTCCTCGACGCATCAAGCTTATTCCTCAATAAGCTGTTGCACTGTGGATGTGTAGGCCATGTGGTGCAAACTACGTGATGCCATCTATTTGGTGCAAGCCTCATGGTGCAAACGATGTGGTGCAAGCTAAGAAGGGTGCAAGCTGTATGGAACAAGCTGTGGTGCGAGCTCTTGGGTACAATCTACGTGGTGCGCGCAATGCGGTGCAAACCATGTGGGGCAAGGTATGTGATGCAAGCTACGTTGGGCAGCCACGGGGCGGCCAAGGGACGGCCACGAGGAGGCCGCGGGTGGCCACGGGCGGTCATGGGGCGGACACACAAAATCCACGGGGTACCCACCCAATTCCTTAACAAAACAAGTAAAAAAACCCAAGGACAAACACTGTTTGGGGAATTGCGGCACACGATTTATCAAGGATAGACCTGGTCCAGGTATGGCCCTATCTTGCGCCCCTGGACGCAATCTGGGAAAATAATGGAACCGCTTGATCCAGGATAACCCACATGTTAGTATTAGAAAGCGTCTACATGGGGCAAACCGTGATCCAGGAAAAATCAAGCGGAATGCGATCTGGAGGCAATCTGGCACGAAAACGGGAGACCCGAATCGGAAGTTATCCATGACAGCCCTATGCCCTGATAGCCCGGAAATCTGAACGACCACGTGAGGGGCAACGATACGGGATTGGCGCAAAAGGGAAAGCATCGACCTGGGGTCGACGGAACCTCGCCGATAGATCGGCGACTGGCCCCCGATAGCGAAGCAACACGCTCCTGGGAAAAAAGTGGGGCATCAAACCCTAACCGGCGATCCATGGGCGATTGAAGGTCGATGCATCCCCACCTGAACCTGTCCGTTCCCATAACATTGCCGTTTGGTTTTCGGGCAGAAAGACAACTTTCGGACGGCCGCTCGGGACGATCTGGACACCACCGAAACGCCCTCGGCAAGGCGCAGCTGATGTAAAGCATCCCGGGGCTGGAAAACCGCCGAACACCGACGAAAACGCCCAAAAAAGTCTAACCTCGGCGATGGGCAGCCTGGGCCGCCCTGAGCCGATCCCCCCCTTATCGTTGCCCGTGACTACGACGACCACGACGACCCACCGCCCACATCGACAGCCGGCGGCACCACTGGCGCCTGCCGTCCGAACGCCGACGCCGCGGGCGCCGCGGACCAAGGGGGCGCCACCGCAAGCCGGCATCGGCGCCTGCCAAGGGGGGGCGGGGAGGGAGGAGGGTGGGGAGGAGGGGGCGGGATTAGAATTGCGGGTGGCATGGGTGAGAAATACCAGACACGGCGGCGATGGTGCCGTAAAAAAATGGTCTTAAGGATCAACAAGTGTTGGTCCGCGCGCACGTTGGAGCCGCAATGGCGGCGGCGGGGGCGCGCGCGCGGGTCCTATTCGAGTTGGGGCTACCGGGCAATGGAGAGCGTCCCTCCGCAGCACTGCGGCCACAGAGGGCCACCCGCAATGAGGCGCCAGAAGATTCACCGCGCGGCCGTCGCAGCGGACGCCCTGCAAACCTCACCAATGGCTCAGGAGCCTCGGCCCGAACGGGATGTCGAGAACCCTTTGGGGCTCAACCGACTCGTCTGCGGTCAATTCGGACGCGGGCTGAGCTGACCATGGCCATGGCCGCGAATCGCAACGGCACCCCATGGAACGGAGAGCCTAGAAGACAGGCCCCTTACCCGACGCGGTGTCGACAAGCCGACGTTGCCGGACAGCCGAAAGCAAAGTGCTGCTCGCGGGGGCCCGGCACAGATCGTGTCTGGCGTGCGCTCAAGCCACATCACTGATCCTTCCAACCAGGCCCGCTCCCCGGTTCTGCCTTCGGCCGCTCGCCTTCGGCCCCCGCGTCTGCAAGCGGCAACTCGAGGGCAACATGAGGCTGCAGCTCTGCGCCACGGTCGCGTCCTCCAAAAAGCTCGCGTCGTCCGAGAGCTCAGCGCCCTGGCCGGCCGCGACCGCTTCTTGGCCCGATGCCACCTGCATATGCTCGCTCTTGATGCTTTGCCAGGGGTTGGCGTGGTCGTGGGCGCGGAGCGCGCGCGCGCGTGGCCCCTCGCGCTCTGGCAGGCACGGGGCTGGCAGCTAACAGATGCATCGGCTCGCCCCCCCAAGCTGCCGCGGCGAAGATCGCTGGGGGCACTGAGGCGCCAGCAAGAGCAACTGGTAACATTGGTTATTCCTCCTTTCTAGCACCCGTCTGTCATCCATCCCTCGCCAGCTTGGCTGGCGCCCCGACCTCCCCGCCCGCGCGCGCGCGCGGGCAGGCGACTCCCGAGCTCGGCGGCGCAGCGCCGCGCGCGCGGGGTGCGCTGGCGCCGATCAAGCACTCTTCGCCGGTACTCGTCGGCGAGCACGGCGCGATCGAGCGGGCTACGAATGGCGGGGCCACCGCGGAGCACCGCGGCGCAGCACGCCGCGCTTGCGCAGCAGCAACTACGAGCAGAGACTGCACATAGGCCGCGCGAGTTTGGACGCGAAGCCGCACCCAGTAGAGGCACGACGCTGCCAATCACATCCTGCGGGGAGATCCTGAACGCGCCGGTCACCACTGACGGCCACGGCACCCTGGCCGCGCGCCCGACTCATCTCTACTTGCAACGGCACGGCGGTCGAGATATCCCTCTCGGCGGCGTGGAGGCCGACGTCGGCCCACTGGAGGCTGACGTGGACATCTCCAAATCCGGCGGGGTCGCGTGGGCCGCGGAGCGCGCGGGCTGTCGCCTGTCCGCGGAAGGGGGCGATAGCCACGTGGAGGCCACCGGGCGACACGTCGGCATCCACGGCGAGGCGACGCGGCAAGACGCGCGACTGTGCACGCAGGGAGCCTCATGACTCGGGCCCAGGCCGCCGTTCGGGATGACCCCAGCGCCCCAGACATCCTCGGCGATGCGAGACCAGGATGGGCGCAAGAGCAACCTGATGGTCGGACAACTCCTCAATATACGCAAAACCCCCCTTGGCCACAACTAAGGCGCTGCCCGTTGGAAGTCGCCCGAGCCGCGCGTCGGCCCTTGCCCAAACGGTCGCGACGCGGCCGTGCAAGAGCACGCATCTGATGGTTCCCTAGTTCTCACAGCAGGTGCCCAGGCAGAAATCGTCGGCGACATCTTCTCGGATGTTGCGTTTTGCGCGCGCGCACTCGCGCGCGGGCGCATGCTTGGTGGCCCTGGCAATCGGGGCCGCGCTGCGCGCACTCTAGCCCAGCGCGGGCCAGTGTTTGCGCGACGAGTCGCGGCCCACGCCGAGGCTTTCAGTCGCGCGACTGGCGCCGGGGACGCGCGGCGCGCACGCGCGCGCGGCAATGCTGGGCGAGCCACGCCGCGCGGGAGAGACGCACCAGCCTGATCTCACGAGCCACGCCTCTCTGCACGACCGCGGCCCGCGATCGCGATGGCTTAACTGTTGGCTCGCGCGAGTCGCGCAGATCGAGCCTGCGCTCGCAATAAGTAAATCGGCACGCGACCCAGGGTGAGCTACGGCCAGAACAATGCATCACATACAAACTGCAACACAAAGCCGGAGCGCGCGATTACGAGGCCGACGGCATAACGCATACAGATAGCATCGGCACGCCAATCCAAATCCACATCATTTCCGCGCCGCAGTGCGAGCCGGCATCCCAGCGCAGGGGGCGTCTGACCGCAGCGGCGTTGGCTGCCGCGCACTGCGGGAACTCCATTAATGACGACGTGCACTTTCTAGACAATGCCGTAGACCCACATCCGCGCACTGGCGGCCGCCGCGCATTGGGCTGAGCGCGCGCGGAGATTGGCGCCGAAGCGGGGCTTCGCACTGTTGCGCGGCGCACTGCAGTGCAAGTACACCCGGCGCCAAAAAACTGCAAATTTGGCGTTGGTCAGTGCTCGGCCTTACTGAGCTGAGGACAAGGAAACCCTGGGCGCGAAACCAATGCGCCGTGGGTCTGCCTGGGCCGCCACGCGCGCCGAATGAATGACGTCGCTCTAGCGTTCAACGTGTGTATATGCGCGTACGTGGACAGCCGCGCGCGCGTTTGCGCGCTCCTGCGCGTTTGGCTGCCCAGGCCAAGCACTGCCACGCACGCGGGGTGCACTGGCCTGTCTCTCTGCGCCTGCGCCGCACCTGTAAGCAGGCAAAACACGCGTCGCGCGGGCCGGGATCGGCGTTGGCTGCCGGTGGATCTACGACAGCCGCGTCGCTTCAGCTGCCCCGGCCGCGCGGTCGATGATTCGCGGAAGCGCTGCCTCGGATTCGCCCGAAGGAGGCTGAGCGCCCCAGCGGGAGGGGGCGCGCCTGCGTCGATCTGTCACGTCCTGCGCGGCGGCGACGACTTCGGCGCCAACCGACTGTAGCTCTTCTCTTCGGCCATGTCCGCAGCGCCTCGCCAGCGGCCCCCTGGCGGCGCGGGCGCCGCGGCAGCCGGAGGCCGCGGCGGCGCCGACGATCACGCGCCACGCGATCTCCAGGACGGCGGCACGAACCGATTGCGAAGTCGGCGCGGTCCGAGCCAACGCCGCTGCTGAAGCGCAGCCCGCCGCGGTCGGCGGCGCGGTCGTCGTCGTCGCTGCGCCGGGCGCGGTCGGCGGCGCTCTCGTCGCCGCCGTCGCAACAGCTGCGGACAGACGCAGCAGCGTTTGGCGTAGGTGCGGCTGCTGGACGCGGCCGCGCATAGGCATCGCACTCGCACGGCAAGACCTGTTAGGCCGTCGCGGTAGCGCACGTTGCCGGCCTGGCCCGGGCGACGGCGCGCATCTCGACTTCTTCCTGCGGCCCCCCCTGTCCACTTTCTCGATGAACTAGTCCCAGAGATCCTCGTCCAACTTCGCGTAGTCGTCATCGTCGAGCTCGCATGTCCCTTTCTAGCGTCGTTATCCTCCCCCTTGGTGGCTAACGCCCTGGCGTTCTCGTTCAGGGCTAACTTCCCGTTCATAGCTTTTATCAAGTCGCCCCCTTCGTCATCGGGCAACTCCCCATCCTTGGTTTCGAGCTTGCTGTTTACATGTTCCTGGGCTTTCCGATAACCAGGCTGCGTCGGATGAGCGCTTCCAACAACTCCTCGCTGCACTCGCCGAACTTGGTCCAGCCACCAGCAGACAGTTGTTTAACAGTTGTACGGCCTTGCACCCGCTGGCGGGTCTGTTTCCACCGCCCGTGGTCCTCGCGTTCCCCGTGGACTGGATAGCCTCGGCGATATTGGCACGATGCTCCGAGGCGCGCGCCCGGCGTTGGAGCCCGGTCCGAACGTGCCCTTTAAATTGTCGCACTGTTCCTCGCAGCACACGTTGCGACTGATGACCAATGTCAGAAGGGCGTTCATCTCGTAGCTAAAATGCAGCATCGTGAACGCACCATATTCGCCAACCGCCCCGGCACCCAGCGAGGACAGCACCACGCCTTCGCGGTTGGATTTGAGGGCGGTGGAAACGCACATGAAATCACCATTCTCGCAAGTGGCGTTGCACAGTTCCGCAAATCGGTTCGTGCTCAGGTTGCGCCAGCTCTCTCAGACCTCGGGCAACGCCACATCGAAATTCCAATCAGCTGTGCCTGGGTTCGGCGGCACCTCCGCGGATGCAGCTGCGGCCATCGCAGGGAAGCAAGTGCCTTGCGGAGTTAGACGCGCGCACTGGGACCCGCGCGGCGAGCCACGGGCCCCGCCACCATGAAACTATGATCGAAAACTGTTGTCCTGGATGGAAAAAAACGTGGGCCAAACAATTGTAGCGCTCGCGCCATCTCTCAAGCATCGCACAGAAAAGTGCAACTGCTCACCCAGTCGGAACGCGATAAACCAACAATCCCGCCCCCTCCTCCTCCTCCTCCTCCTCCTCCTCCTCCTCCTCCTCCTCCTCCTCCTCCTCCTCCTCCTCCTCCTCCTCCTCCTCTTCCTCCCCCTCCTCTTCCTCATCCTCCTCCTCTTCCTGGTTCCTGGTGCCTAAAGGGTTTTTTTCCGAAATCTCCCCATCCTCCTGGGCGCAGCCTCGCGCGCGGGTTCGCCCCCGAGCACCTCCCGCCCCGACAGCGGCTCAGCACGCGACGGTCTTGGCGCTGCACACGTGCACAGCGACGCCCAGAGGCCCCCGGCGCCGCCACAACGGCCCCGCGGCGCGGCCCGGCGCCGCCCCTGGCCGCGTCCGCGATACCCTGCCGGGCGACCCCGAGCATCTGGCGCAGCTGCTCGTCGCCCGGCTTCTCGACGGCCCTCCGCTCGACGC